CGTTATACAATTTTTTTTTTTTCAATAGCGGTAAATATTTATTTTATGTTAATATTAAGTATCCACCTGCGATACTTAAAACCTAAAAAATAAAATAAAATAAAATTATTGTTTATAAACACTACATTTACATTTTGAGTTTACTTTGTTGTCCAACTCTCCACTACAATAATAATTAACATAATATTATATAATTAGTTTGAAGTTGTGTACTTAATTATTTAAATGATTACGGTAAAAATATTATTATGATTCATGTTCAAAACAAAAGCTAATTTATTCACATAAAAATACAAGTTAAATTATATTCGTGGTAATAAAACCAAAAATTAAAAAGAAAAATCATGCATACAGTACGATTTAATATTTACATATCAATAACAGTTGTATAATAATGGATATTATATACAGTGATTTAATTTTTATCAGTACGCAATGATCATCATAATTGCTGACGAAAAACGAATCTAACGAATTTTCATGAAAAATATTGAATTACTAACGCTGAAAAAATTTACTACATTACGCTAAACTTTTTTTTATCACTAATTTTAACTTATAATAAACTACGTGTTAATTTTTTGAACATAACTGCTTAGACAAAACAATTTTATCTTTTATAAAACTAAAATAACTAGAAAATTACAAATATCTAAAAAAAAATTCAAAAAACGTATTTAATATTTAATTTAAAACATTTTACCGCGTCTAAAAAGAGCTAATATAAGTATTCTGTGAAAATATCAAGTTTATGCGATTATTCTTAACCGAATTATTAAGAAAACTGCAAGGGAAATTGAAAAATGATGTTTCATTTCAGATAGAGATTAGACTTAAAAGTCCGAGCAAGATGTCTGGTATTAAGGTTATAACAGAAACTAAAAAAGCAAACACGATTCTTCGTGTTCAGAATTTAAAGAACGTTTGTATATCACCCTCCAATGGTAGATTTTAGGGTGAGACTGAGAGGTCAAAAATTTCGAGATAACAAAATTTAAAAAAATTATAATAAAATTAATGTAAAACGGTAAGATGTTATGGATTTGTTCCCTAAACACATTCCCAGAAGTTAACGATTGTTATAATAATATTATGATTATAATTTATTATAGGTACCTACACAATTATTTTTAGTTTCTATTATAACTACTAACTCTAAATTTTACTAAATTAGACTATTATTTTTAAATACTACATTTATGTACTACAATAACGTGGTTTCTTTTGTTCTTTTTTTTTTTTAATATTTAAATATGTGTTCGATACTGTAATGAAGAACTTTGGGACCCGCCCTTCATAAAAATCCTAGATCGTATATCCGTCATTGTACATTAATCATACATTACGTTAGATGAAGAACAGGCCAAAGTAAATACTGCGACAATTCAATGATGATTCTCTATATTACGACACATCATATAAGATATGTTTTGTGCGAAAAAGAAAGATATCTCGTTAATTCAACGAAAGAGATACCCTGACGGCATTATTCTCGTCTGTTGTATTTAGTAAAAAAAAAAAATATATATATTTATCATTAATTATTATTATAAGTGTTGACGCATAGACGCACCGCAATCTATTATTTATTTAGTAATACAGTATAAAACAATAACGTAATAAAGTAAAAACAAAATTATTAAAATGGTCAATACTCGTAAATAAATGTATAAATAAAAAATTTATTTAAAAATAATAAAAAATAAATGAATGAATTAATGAATGCGTGGCCTGGAGTATAATGATATCATGATGTTACGGTTTCGAATTAGTAATTCACCATCAGGTATACCACAGTCGAAATGTAAAACGCGACGCGATTTCTTGCTTTTTTGTGACTGAAAATAATTTATTTTTTTTGTAAAAATTACAACTGCGCGCAGTTTATCGCCAGACAGAAATAATATAAACGTTATGAAATGTTAAACGTACCTATGCGTTTAACAGCGAATTCGTGTAGATAAAACACAATAAATATATTATATTATATAGTTATAATACTAAATAAGATATAATATTATGTGCGTATGTGTATATATATACACACGTATCGGAATGGACTCGGCGGTGCGCGGTGGTTTCGTACAAAGAAAAGGTAAACATGTGAAAATGATTGATGTCCTCGAAAAGGCGGATTATCGAGACACTGGTAAAAAGACTGCTACACGCAAATCTCTTTGTTGGAATCGTCTTATGGCTTCGAAACCAAACGGATAGTTTTTTTTTTTTATTTTTTTTTTTTTTTTTATCCAGTTTTCGGATTCGTCTAGCGCGCGTGGATATTTATCATGTCGACATGCTTTCGGCGCTTTAAATACAATTTGTAGTGACGCAACAATGGGCGTCCCCGGATATGACACTATATACACAGTGCACACAGTATACACGCCGTGCGGGAAGGCGACGGCGGCGCTTCGTAATGTTTTTCTAACGTCGTACCCTTCTTAGACAAAACGCATTAAAAACACTGGAGCGTGAGTAAATTATACACGGACGGATTAAATTTCAGATGTATATTGTTATTATAATATCATATAATACCTACCTTTTAGGTATGCAGTCGCTTCTATAAACAATTCAAGCGTCGAAATTATTATTATTATTATGTTGTTCGCGCGTTAAAAACTTTTCGAGATTTTTTTACAGCGATAAACGGCGGAAAAGCGGCGACCATTTACAAAAAAAAAAAAAGAAAAAACGGTTATAGGTTATACTTTACTATACGCTCCATACTACGGAATTCATGTTTATTTTACCCGCCGCGTCGTTATTATTATTTTATTATTTTTTGTTTTTTTTTAACCGCTTTATGTAGAGATACAGACGGTAGTCTGTCAAATTATTTTACGTTCTGTTCGCCGTAGCGGCACTAATAGCTGTGCGAAAGCAATCGCCAAATTAACTTTGCATCGACCTCGCATTAATTATTCATCGGTTTATCTGACGTAGAAACGGCAGAAACAAAAAAATAATAATACGTGATTATCCTTATCACGTACAATATACAATCGTACAGACCACACACTTCAGAACTGCAACAATTCAAAAACGCATCAAAAATTAACAAACTACAATTCTACTTTTCAAAACAATTTCTTTTTAAAAACGCAATGAATATTAATTAAAATGCTAGTCTCACACAATATCCTATTCTAAAGTAAACCAAGTATACTAAGTGCAATTTATATAATATTTAATTACGATAGAAACGTAAATGAATGGCATATGCGTATACCAAAAATTGTATTCACGACTAATTTATTTCGCATTTTATAGTTGACAAAAATATTCATTGGATATTTAAATCACTCTCCTGAAAACAGTCCTTTTCTGAGTTGTCGCAGACTTAAATTGGATAGTCGATATTATAATAGGTCTGTTGTTTCATTGTCGAGGGTTTTCATTATAGCCTCGCGCTCGGCCGCATTAAATTTCCACGGCTATTTTCCTCAAAAACCTTTTGGCCATTCGACCGAAACGAATCGATCTGGAAATATTATGCCAACAACGTGTATTATAACGCTATATTAGTACTTAATATAATATGTTGAATCGAAAATTATAAACGAACGTAAAATAACGAGAAAACCGTCTCCTCTGCAATCCGTATTTATATTCATTACAACACGATTAATTCATAAATGCATTTGTTTATTAATTGAGACGTTTGACGGCCGCACTGACGTATTCTTTCGTTTTCTCTCTAGCTCTCTCTCGCTCTCTGTCTGTCTGTCTGATTCGTTTGCTCTCGGTTTTGAAAGTACATATTACAATATTCAACATGTACCGACGACAACGACGAGTCACGTCTATGCACACGGTTGAAATATGCATTATCATATTTACGAGTCGATATGAAAGTAGAAAAAACCGACCGCAATAGTTCACAACCAATACAGATTGTGGGTGTCCTGTGTGTCCTATGCATGGGCGTACTCCCTGGGGGGGTTCGTGGGGTTCATACTCCCCCCCCATTGGCCGTCTTCACTTTAGATTAGGAGCATGAATCCCGATAAATTGATTACGAACAATTGATCGCCGATGAATTAATCTGCGATTTTATTAAATGTGCTTTATTAATATAACTTGTATAAAAGTCGAATAGTTTATCAAGTTTTCTCTTTGTAATAATTTAATAGATAACTAAGCTTAAAATCAATAAATTGTTTAGTTTTATCAAATATATTATTATTATTATTTTATTTTATAATTGTTTATTATAAACTAGAGAAGTCTATATAAATCGATACCTACATAATTCGTTTTTTTTTTTTTTGTGATCAATTTAACCGGCGGCAAATTTGCAGCCGCAATCAATTGTTCGCGATAAATTCACTAGATACCTCGGAGCATATAATAGTTTTCATAATAATTTAGAAAAGCAAAATAATAATAAACCAAAAAAATAAAAACCAAAATATTTACGGCAACTTAGAGTTCCGGTTTAATTATTTTCATTTTTTTCAAACGATGTTATCTACCATAAATATTACTCCAATTGAAAAATAACAAAGAATCGATTTTGTTCCTTTTAATATGTAACCGATATTAAGAAAGTCGATTTTTTTTATATTTTTTGTATTATTCATAATAATTGGAAAAAACTAAAAGAACGAAAAAACCTATTTTTCAAATTACGATGCAACGATTTCATTATTTTATTTTATGCATACATTACGGGCAGGTGATCAATTTACAAATAATAAACAGTAAAATTTAAAATTACAAGTGTAATATAAAGATGAAAACAATCATGAAAAATAACTTACTCGTAGTTAGGTTTATGAGATCAAAAAGGAGGGGTCTAAATTGGCAATAAATATACAGTTTCGAAGTGATTCACTTAAACCGTAATAATTAATGAAACTAAATTAAAAATTGTATGTTGACGTGTGAAGCACGGAGAACATTTATAGAAATTAGAGAGAGTAGATGTGATGAGTGAATCTGTCCATTTAATAATTTAGAAAGAAATTTAAGGTTGGCATCATACCTACGATCTACTTTGAATCAAGTTTGAGATGCTCAAGTACTGGTGAATAATTATGAGGAGGAAATTCAATCCTAAATACATAACTGACATATTTTAAAAATTTATTTTGAACTTACTCAAGCATTATTTCATTATTTGCAATATTAGGATCCCAAATGACCGAATATCGAATTGGATGAAAGTCCGAATGACCTTTAAATGCTTCAAATATATAATTACAAAAGACTGCACTACAGGTTGCAGTAGAACGGCATAGCCGGAAATCATGTTTCTCCATTAACACTCGGTTGACACTTGGTTGAATTTCTTTAAGTATAATTGATTCGAATAATTTGGCAATATGTGAGAGCATTGAGATTGATCGGTGAGTGGAGACTAGAGATACATTCCCAGATTTTAGTACCGGAGTAATAGAACACAGTTTCCAAAGATCAGGAAAAATACCGTCATCTAAGGAGCGTCTAAATAAAAGCCACTGCGGAAAGAGAGGCGGGCGTTAATATTATGTTATGCCTATGCCTATTATATCAGGTACCACGATTTTTAGGCCCAGCACTGACAATAAAGTCTCTTCTTATGAAAAGTACGAGGTGACCATGTGCAGTGGTACAAACTTCAAAATATACACGAGACCAATAATTAAATATTACATTTTAAGTTACCTACTAAACTGCTATTTCCAAGGGCAGTCGGGACCGGCGCCCTGTTCTTCGCTCGACCCCGTATTTTATATAGGTCGAGGTGTCTGCATTTTTAGTCAATGCGATGGAATTTAAACGCCCGCACACGTCAATAGTTACGTTAGGTTCATAAACCGGAAATGTCCATAACGCACGTAGTTACGTGTACCTACCTACACGTATTATTAAGTACCTATATATAAATTATACTTTATTGTATGACGTGTATTATAAATAAACGCGTACCGAAGTTTTCTGATCGCGTTCGACCTAGTATTAACGACGTGATAAACGTTCGTTTTATTACCGCCATTCACGTCCAGTCGACGAACTGGTACTCACTTAATGGAATAATTATCATTACATAGTATCGCGTCGTAGTTGATCGAGGTTAGATTAAGTATGGCTATCGATTATCGAATGGAAATATAATACGAGTTGATCATCCGATGAGCTCTCTTCAAAGACTACTTCCACAACACGGCATGAAATGTTTGCAATCCAATTCCCTTAAAACAGTCTTTGAGCTGGGATTATTAATTTATTTAAACTCGAATACAGTACAGAGTCCAACACACGATGAGAAACAACACTGAACAAAAATAGGTTCAATTGTTGAGAACAACATTTTGATAACCGTCTTTTATTATATTATTTCCCTTTTATTAAAAAATTAATAAATTTAATACTACAACGAGTTTATTTTCAAAACATCAGTTGCGTTGTGGCGGGCTGGTTCGAAAAGCTTGATGGGCTGTAAATTGGAAACCCTCCGGATCACAGCTCATAAAATTTCTCCGGGGTGTCTTGGCTATCGACGCAACTTCCGTGCAACCGTGACCAATTCTAATATAATATTCTCCATTTTCTTCTGGTCGTCTTCTTCGGTCCGTCCAACAAACGCTTTCTAGCGTCTCCCCCTCGGTTTTCGGTTTACTTTATACGCATATACTTGAGCTGGACACCCTGTATTCGTTCCCCGGACTTACAAAAAAAAAAAAAAAATATATATACTTGTAACTGTTGGATTTCTTTTGAAGATACCTCTATGCAAATTTCGGCATCATTCCACGATCTCAAACGTCTCTCGTATTCGTCTAGAACCGTGCATACTGCCGTAAAACGATTTTTTTTTTTTTTTTTTTTAACGACAGTTATCGTGCCTTAGCCCTCTCGTCGTTCCCGTCGTAAGTCTATTTCAAAGACTCGCTTCCCCGATAAGCGCGTTGTTTATACTATGCATTATTGTTTCGTGGAGTCCGAAAACGTCCGAAGTGGAAATAAAACGATCGTCCTACACAAAGGCGTACTACGACTGACCGCCGTATGTATACTATACACATGCATATTGTACGGCGCGTGATATATTTCATACTAAATATATGTATATATATATTAGAAATGAATTCTCGAATGGTCTTTTGCGCAGCAGCAGTGTCCTATATATGTATACATTTTATATACGGGAACGTAAAATCGAATATACACACGTCCCCGTGCTATCGTGTCGATTTTTAAAAGGCAATTTCCGCCGCCGCCAAGACGATGATCTCGGTTATCGAATTTATCCTTTAGTTTTATACGCGAGTCTTTCGCTACACGCACACACACACACACACACACACACACGTTTAATACAATAATATAGATAGACACCTAACCTATAAATTTTAGTCTTACAGCAAACGAATAAATAAACCAATTTCTAATGTGCATAATGTATAATATTATATCGACGGTACACGCCATATCTCTACCTATATACCTACCAGGCTGCAGCAGTTCCCGGAAAACGTTAACTTTGTTTTTCGAAACCTTCAATAGACTGACATTTTTTTTTTTTTTTTTGTAATTTTTTTTTTTTACTTAATCTGACGCGAGTTTATCCCGGTATAACAATAATAATAATAACGATACGCAACATCAATAGGTATAGGTTAAAATATCGCTGGAACGTTTTATCCATTAATCTATTATATTATATTTTGTATATCCCGCCACTACAGAAAATATATACTCAAAACTAAGTGCTTTTACGGCATTTAGGCATACATATTATTTTTAATTGTTTGTTAATCTATCAAATCTATCTTCTGAAATGGTATATTTCGCCGCACAATCTGATTTCACGATTTAAAGCAATTTATAATAAATTAATTAAATGTCATTCGATTGTTCAAGCAAATATAATATATATTATATATGTACTATTTATACTTATCTCCTAACGTGAATATAACAAAAACTACAAGGGAGGAGGATGAGTTATCTCTTATATTGTAATAGCATCTCTGACTGCGTCAGTCCGAGTACCGTCTGCAGTTATATAGCGAGTTGTCATATTGATAAGGTGTTACTTATATTTTAACTGTCCCGTCGGTTGCTTTTTTAACCTCAGTACTCGGCAGCTTTATCATTTTCTTCTCTATTTCAAAATAAGACGAATACAGAATTATTCCGTGGGATTTAAAGGGATTATTTTTGTTTTCATAGAATGCTTTGAGAATGACAATCGCTGATAATGATCGCGAATTTATTGAAAATGTCCAAAATAACAATTTTTTGTGTTTCGTATAAATCAGAAGGTATGTTGTATGTATATTGGATGACCAGCGGGTATTTTCTCATTTCCCAGTATCTATTTAATTATATAGGGAACGGTGAAAAGTGTCATGTTTTATTAACTAAATACAAACATAAACGCATGTATATTATACAAAATACATAATCGCATAGTGTTCCTTACCGACATTTGGGTATACAGAGTATACCATTAAACGAACGACGTAAATCACGAACTTTTTATAGAACGATTGTAAAAACAAATTATTCTTAATTGCTATATAATGCAAACGTACGCTGTACCTAACGTGTATTTGCAATATCCTTTTTAAATTGTAATTGTTGATTTCTGTGCATACGTATATAAATTAATTTATAAATCTTCGCATTGAAATAGCATATCACATTAATTCGCTAACCGGGAAAGGATAGGCGAAACTAGAGGGGTGCTTAACGGTCTTGAACATCCCCAAGTTTAAAATTAACAGCACAAAAAATACCAAATAAGCTGTTTATAGTATTGACTAAATAGTGTATTCATATATTTCATAATTAATAAACAGAACAAAATACAGATAACCTACACACAACGCATGTATGTATAAAAAATAAAGTTAAAAAAAATCATGATACATTTTTAAATACAAAAAAGACGTACGCGCTTCACACGTGCCACTATTGTATGTGAGAATTTGGGCAAGTAAGATATAATAGAAGGAATTTAGTTTATATCAGTACGTAAAGATAAGCTAACGAAAAACGATTAGAAGCAAAATCGGTCATATATAATTTGAAAGACCGTAATAATTATGATTTTTGTCAAAATTTGATAATGTATCTCTTGTTAAATTTACATGCATTTCTGTCTAACAATTTTATCCAGAAAGTACGAAAATGTCAAAAACTTGACCAAGCTTAGAAAAAGCAAATGAAAATGTTCTGCCAAAATTTCAAAACTCTACGAATGTTTATAATGTTTATACGAATTATAACAAAAAACAAAATTGTAAATAATGAAAGCATTATTTTCGTAAATTTTCCCGTTCTTTCAATGTTTTTTTCCCGATTATTACAAATACCACTTTGAAAATTGAAAAAACAACTTCTATAATGCACCAACTAGATCCAAAATACAACCATAAATGTCTCATGTTATTTTTTGATTGGAGAAAGATTTCTGGTAGAAAAATTGTTCACGGTGTAAAAAAATTATAATAATAATAAAAATAAATATCATTGTAAAGCAAATCCATCCTACACTCCGAATCTAAAATTATGTTAATCTGAAATGTGTAGTAGCTTATTATAAACGTCGTGTAAAGGGGATTGTAGGGACATTGCTTCCATGAATCAGTGACGTGTCTCTAAGTCTGACATCCAAATTCGGTGATCTAGTTTGGCCCATGCCGAAAACGCCTCAATAATTATAATATAATTATTATAACAAAAATTCGTATCTATAAAAACCTTTCATTTGATTGAAATTCACGCATTATCCGCCTATTAACCAAAACCGTAACAAAGCTTTTTGACGTCTCTGGACACACAACAAAGTCTGCGCTCATAGCCTAGATTACGCCTACTGTTTTACATTACAATTTTATACTTAAATTTTGTATACATTTTGAATTGTTCGGCCTTTTCTTGGCCTGGTCCAGACTTACCGAACCCCAACTCCACGGTGGATCTCGTTACAAATCCCGTAGGTATTATATTCATCGAACACAATAAAAAAAAGATGTGTACCGTTTTATTTTACCTAAAATATATACGTTTACGACATTATACAATAAACGTATTGTTTGTAAACTAATCGTATCAAACATTTAAATAAAGACAGTTTCTAAACAAATTGATTTCTTATACTATTCTATTTTAAGTTTTTTTTTTTTTTTTTTTTTTGTTAGATAATTAATAACACAATAGTTATTATTTCGAATATCAATTCAATGTTGTAGGTGCTTAACATATTTTTCAAAAAAACAACTCCGATAATAAATACCTATTCGTATAATCGTATAGCACATAACTAATATTGAATACGATAAATTCCGAAACAAAAATAATTACTTATACGATTTAAATTTCAATTATCATTCATGGATATAAATATACATGTTTATATATTAATTACAGCAATTAATAATCCTATAATTATAATATTGTATAAATAAATAATATTTTGAAATATTATTTATTATTCTAATTCTATTATGAAATTGTCTGACATGAAATATATTTAACGAGGAAGGAAATACAGAATTCCGGTAAAGTTTTTTGTTTTTTTTTGTTTTTTTTCATTGTTTTAATTCCTTAACAATAAAAAAATAATAAAAACGAATAATATTATACGCAATGGTAAATGAAAACAAATGTACGTCAAAATTGGTTGCTTTATATTCAAATATATACCTGACCTATGTTCATTAAGACATTTAACGGAGGCTGTGAAAAAACAAAGTTTCAATCAGAATATGAAATATTCGTCGCATTAACGAGCAAACCGGGGAATTTAAAACACTCCGTATAGAGGGGTTGCGAAACAGATTGTTATCAATTTCAAACGCCGGGTTTACATAGAAGCCGGAGATGGCATAAAAAGAAATGCATAATCACTTAAAAAAAAAAAAAAATTCAATACTGTAGTTGTACAACATTAAACTACAGGCGCACAATAAAAGTATAGTCGCAACCGAAAAACTAATACAAGTATATATTATGTAAATATATACATATATAAGGGAATGGGGATAACTGTATTGTAGAGGCCAAACAAAAGTGGCCGAAGGGAACCCAGACGGGCTAATATTCAAATATGCGTATATTAGATTCTGAGTGGAGCGAAGAAGCTTATTGTTTCACCAGAAATGTTTATTTTACCAGTCGCGCGTATTTACAATCGAGTTACAGCAAAAAAAACTCCCAAAAACAGAAAATTCCTTAAAAGCTCGAAAATGCCTCAAAATTTTCGTCGATGTTACCGTAATAAAGTAAATCAAAAAGGTATCGTGTGATTTTTCGATTAAATCGTTTTTTCCAGGTAGAAAACGTCATCCGTGTTTTTATAAAATAATGAAATCGTGAAATTGTACGATGTCCAACGTTTTTTCCCACTTAAGTCCTGTTATTTAAAAAACGGCAAAACGGAATGACTATATAACGTACAATCTAGACAACTGGAGCTTTCCAAAGGATTTCAGTAATAATTGCGAAAAACCGAGAAAGAACACGTTTGCAAAACGGTCAAATATTTACGGCGCGCGCGACGGTATCGAATATTCATTATTTTAAATTTTTACGCTCCGTGTTTTCTCCCAAAAATCTTGCTTTAATCGAAAAATGTCCAGAAACCTTTTTTTATTGCATTTTAGATCTTATTGATAAGTAAATGGTTTTTCTTTTTTTGATTTTCAAACCGATTTGTACAATCATTGGGAAAAACGGTGAACAAAAAAAAAACATATGGAAAAAACAAAAAAGTTTACGGCCTCAGTGGTTTCGTAATTTTCGATTTTTGTTTATTGTTGTCAATATTACCGTGAAAAAAGATGAACAAAATCGTTCGACCAAACAGAAATGTTTGAAAATTAAACTCTCGGTTCTTTATAGAGTTTGGCTCAGCGGTCAAAAAAGTAGATCGTAATGTAGACATGTTTTTTTTCCACGAGCTTTATCAGAAATAAATCGTAAATATTCATAATATTTATCGTAATTATTCCGGCGCTTCAAAACCGCGTGTACCTTATACCCGAACTTGGCTCAGGATCGTTTTTTTTATTGTTATTTTTTTTTCTCTCCAATGTAAATTCGTAATTTCAACACTCCGAAAGCCGTAAGCGTACGCTCAAACGGATCGCGAACCGTTTTATCCTGTTTTCCTACAAACATAATATAAATACCTATACATGTTTGATATCGATTGAATCCGTGTCCGTTGTGTTTACACATGACGCACGCGTACGTACGCACACACACACACACACACACACACACACGACGATCTTGACTGATTTTACAGGGTCTCCGTCCCCGCCGTAATAAATGACTGGCTGACCTACGGCGCCGGCGACGGTACGGATACGTTTGTTTCGTTTGTCTTTTCATCTCCCGGCGACGACTCGTTCTTCGCCCGTGCCCGCGAGTAACCCCGGCGGAACAACCG